GCTTTGCCTCCTCCATGGGGATGGCCACTGTGGCCCTCACGGGGAGACCTGCTCCATCCTGGCCCTGTTCATTTAGTAGTTTCCAAAGAAACCTTGTTCTGCAGAAGCCCCACAGTCAGCTGGTGCTACAGACTGGAGCTGCATGGCCCAAGAGGGAGGTGGCCTGCCAGAGGACTGCAGTGACCAGCATGGGCTGGGCAGTGTGGCCAAGAACCCGTCTCAGGTGGGGGAACCTTCTCTGCCCCTCCCCATCCGGCGAGAGCCTCTTCCATGCTATAGGCTGAGCTGATCTGACAGCAGGTGGCTGTGGGAGGTGAGCCCACCTCCTCTCCATCCTGAGCCCCACCCTGGCTCTTTTGGTTTTTTATTTTGAGACAGGGTCTTGCTAAATTGCTGAGTTGCCCGGGTGGGGCACAAATTTGTGATCTTCCTGCCTTTTACTGTACCACTGTTTATTGTTTGTTTTTCAAGACAGGGTCTCACTTTGTAGTTCAGGCTGGCCTTGAACTCATTGTGTAGCCAGGCTGCCCTGGAACATGCAGTGATCTGCCTGCCTCAGCTTCCAGAGTGCTGGGATCACAGGTGTGTGCCACCGCACCTGGCCATTTTTTAAAATTTAAACCTTCACTGAATTTTTCTCACATATGGATGGGCTGTTTGGCCCTACCCTCCGATTCTTCCCTCCGTCCTTGTGACCCTCAGTGGCTTCCATGACTCCTGCTCTGAGGCATGACAGAGTGGATCTTCTCAGCATCTCATGGAGCTCGGATGTGTTTTACACATGGCTGTGAACTCCTCGAGGTGGTCCACATTCATTAGCGCCTGTGGCTTCCCCTGCCATTCCATGTTCCCACCCTGCTATATGCAGCTTGCTCACTGGATGGTCCTCTGAAATGTCTCCCCGCTTCACTCTGGACTTTCTCGCTGTAGTCCTCTCCCTGGGTTGGCAAGGAGCTGTCCCCAGCACAGTCTCAGGGACGTGTGGTCACAGATGTGTCCGTGTCCTGCAGGCCATGGTGCAGCCAACCCACAGCCTGGGCCTGCCATGTGTGTCCCTAATCTGGCGTGTACCTCTGACCACGGAAAGGGAGCTGCTTCAAAGGGATCAGAGGTTCCCCGCTGTCCCCTCGCATCTGTGGGAAGCGACCAAAGTGTAGCCCGGACCGCTGATCCCAAGCATTGCCCCTGGGAGATGCTCCTGTTGCTTCAGAGGAAGTAATGTGCAGGTCAGCGTGTAGGTGTGAGGAGTGGACTGCTGAGCACCTGCCCGCTTGGTTAACTGTGTCAAGCGATGGCTTGTCTAGGAGCACAAGAGTCTTCAATGCTGCATGAGCTTTATTCTCCCGCCTGCTCGATGGCACCAAGAGTTACGGAAGTGAAAGGCTATTTACCAGGGAGCCGTGGCTCTGTCACCAGAGGAGGGAGCTGGATGCCCCCTGATGTGACTCTGGAAGTCCAGGCTCAGCCAAAATCGCCGTGAGGGACGTGGCCAGAAGCAGCCTCTGTCATCTCTGCTCCAGGCTGTCCTGGGCCTCCTGCTGGTGCAGTCCTGGGTCCCAGCCCCTTGGCTGGGGACAGGCTTTGTGTGGTCACTCCCCAGCCCCCACGCCTGTCACCTGGTCCCTGTCCAGTGCTTCCTGGGCTGTCGTGGACCACTGCAGTGTCCCCCCTTTCCCCTGGGGATCGGTGAGGAGCCATGGTGACAGGGCAGCAAGTTCTTATAGCCCTGCAGCACATGGCTTTGGGGCCGGGGCCAAGGAATGGGGTCCCCCCTGCCCGCTGCTCTTCCTCCACCGGAGCCGCAGGGTCCCCTCCACCTCGCTCAAGTGCAGCCTCGGCCCGCTTCTTCTGCAGCTCCTGGTAGGCAGGCACCGGCCCACACCCCTGCCCTTAGGATGCGCCCGGCTGGCCCAATTGCTGCCTTCCCCTGGGTCTGCCCCAGGAATTGGGGGGTTGGCAGGGCTTATGGGGCCTCCCCAACCTCCACCCACGGAACAAGAGGCTCACAGCTCAGCGCCAGAAGGCTCTCTTGCTGAGAGGAGGCAGGGCACTTCCGGCCCCCAGTGGCCATGGGTGATCTTCCTCGCCTTTGTGCGTGCGCTGGAGAACTGGCTTCCCGCACCAGGGCCCCTGGCCGGCCACACCGAGTCGTGCTGCGCTTCGTGGCTCCCGCCTATGCCCTCAGAGTCCTGGGGCTCCTCCAGGGCACCCACCGTGCCTCAACAAACATCTCACCATTAATCCCCTCAAAATCCTCCCCTGGCTTTAACTCGCTCATCCCATCACCCTCGCCACTTCCTGCAGCACCTCAGGAGTCCCCTTTCCTGAGTGTCTTTACAACACATGATCAAAAAATAGGCTGAATGCTGCTGCCGAGCACCGGGCAACAGAAAGGCAGGATGGGTGAAAACACGATGCTGTGTCCTCTTCCACCTCATTCACCGGATCTGGCACCGCGTGACTCTGGCTCTTCCCAAAGTCAAAATGACCATGGAAGGGAAGCATTTTGAATCCATTCAGAACATGGAAGCAGCCAGGACAGCACAGCTAAAAACACTGAGGAAAGAGGGCTCCAGAGCTGCTGCAGGAAGTGGCGAGGCTGATGGGATGAGTGTATTAAAGCCAAGAGAGGATTTCGAGGGGGACTCATGGCTGTGTGTCTTTCACTGTAATAATTCTTCTAATTTATACATTGTTTCTCTCAAACATTGGGGAGGAGAAGCCCTGGTCGGTCACACGGAAGTAAGAGCAGAGAACCGTGGAAGGCAGGAGTCCTGCCAAAGAGCCAGTTAGCCCTTCCGGCGGTTCCTCCTGTCCTTGTTTGCAAAAAGAGTTGGCTTGAAAATCTAGGTTATTAGACCCAAAATAACAGTGAATCCCAGTCTCCCCCCAGAGAACGTAAGAAGGGTTCCTGTACCACTCACCAGGACCCGAGGGGGGCTGGCTGGGTCTCGGAACTGTAGCATTATTCCAATGGAATAATAATAATCAGGAGTTAGACTCCTGATTTCCCAAGGCCGGGGACTCTGGCTGCTTGTCTTTAATCATTTGCACCAAATACACTCCCTGCAATCTATTATGAACTCAGGAAAAGTTTGTTGAGTGGATACACGACTTCAGAGATTGTTTTAAGATGAATTTCTGTAGACGTGTATATGTTTTTCTGTGCTATTATTAATAATAGAATGGGCTGAATGGGACAGAGAACCAAATGGAGAGATCCTGATCAGCTCTCTTCAGTCTTCTCTGAATCTAGTTTTGTTTTGTTTTTTTTTTTGGTACCGGGGATCGAACTCGGGTCCTTGCACTTGCAAGGCAGGCGACAGAACCACTGAGCTAAATCCCCGGCCCCTCTCAATCTAGTTTTAAAAGATTTGAAAATATTACACATCCTGTGAGCAAAGCCAGGCCCACCCCCAAATATTATTAAACCGTATTTTAACTGTTTGTGATTATTCTGTTATGCATTTATTAAGTGTCTATTTCAGAAATAAATGCTTTTCTTGAAATTATTTTCAATGTTTAAATAATTTATGTAAATCATTAAGGTAAATTTAAAATAATGCATAACGTAAACCTCTCCTATGCCAAGTGAGCAGTGGCCGGGTGAGGGCAGGGGTCCTGTATGCAACACGGGTCCCAGAGTCGGGACCAGAGCGGCCCCCTTATCCTGCACAGTGCCCCACATTTGTCCCCGTTTTGTGAATAATGTGTTAAAGGCTGGGTGTGAAGGAGCACGGCACTGGGTGTGTAGTCCCAGCACTCGGAGGCTGAGGCAGGAGAATTGCCAGGAGTTCAAGGCCAGCCTGGGCATCAGAGCAAGACCTTGTGTCACAAAAACAACCCTAACCCTAAACAGAAAACTGTTAGGGTATACATGGGTCTGGCTTCGTCTCTAGTCTGCCATCCCGGGACCCTCTGCCTGCAGCTGTCTCGGAAGGCTGAGCAGCCAGCCTGTGTTGAAGATGAGTCCTCACTGGAGTCGCTGCCCTCCCTCGGCTTTAATTAAACACTCAGAGCCCCAGCTCCTGCCAGAATGTGCTGAGCAGAAGCAGCCCGACTCCAAAGAGCGTGGGTGTGGACTCCATTCCCGGGCGCTGGTGTGGGGCACAGCAGGGCGACCATGAAGGAGTGGGAGAGCTTGTGGGCCCCGCTGTGCATCATGATTGCGGTGGCAGTGGACAAACACACGTGTAGACAGGAGCATCACACATGCACCACCCGCCTCTTCGTGCCAAACACACGGTGACGCGGGCAGCACCCGGCTCCCAGGGCCAAGACCCCCAACAGACTCCCCGGCCCTCATCTCCCTGACCATGGGCAGTGCCGGCCCCCGTGGTCAGGGTGGAGCCGGAGGAAGGGCCCCACTCTGTCGCCTTGGTGGAGTCTGCTCTGGGCTTCTGCTGAACCCTGTTTAACGCAGTCACACTGTTCTGCTCTAACTTTCCAGATTCATCAGCTCCAGTGTTTATTTCTAACTTCCAGCCCCTGCTGCTGTCCACACGTGTGTGTTGGGGGTGCGTGAAGCACCCAGGCCAGGGAACAGCGCTGCCAGCCGATGACCAAACATCTCTCTGCAGCTGGGTGGTTCTGCGTCCAGACTTTTCTTTTTTGGGCGGGGGGGGGAGTGGTACCGGGGATTGAACTCGGGTCCTTGAGCTTGTGAGGCAGGCGGCAGAACCACTGAGCTAAATCCCCGGCCCCTTTTCTTTTTTTTTAAACAAGGTCTTGCTGCGTAGTTCAGCCTGGCCTCAAATCATGGTGATCCTCCTGCCTCAGCCTCCTGAGTGCTGGGATTAGAGGCACCACCACGCCCACTGGGCTTTCTCCTACAGCCGTGTCTGGTTATTATTTACTTCTGCACAAAGCAGGTGTCTGCTCAAGACAACTAGGATGGGGTGTTGTGCTTTAATCTTTAGAAGAATTAGTAATGAAAGTGAGAGTCGGGGCTGGTCCAGCCAAGGCCCTCAGCCCACAGCTCCACCCTGCTCCCTCCCCAGGGGCTGTGGAGATCACTGTGCCCCGGGACAGTGACATCACCATCCTCGTAAAGCAGGGGGCCCCATCCCTGAGACCCTGCCACCTCTTCACCGCCAAGCGGCATGTGACCATGCTGACTGTCAAGCCTGGGGAGAGGACAAGCTTCAGCTTCACCTGCCAGGACCCAGAGAAGCACTTCGTCCTGGAGATCCAGAAGAACATCGGTGAGTTCACACTCACATGAGTTCACGCTGTGCTAGGCAGGGGAGGGGCTCTGGCTCTACACCCTGTAACTTAGCTCTTATGGGGCTTGTTTCATCCTCAAGAGCTCTGTGAGCCAGGTATGGAGATGCACACCTGTGATCCCAGCACTCGGGAGGCTGAGGCAGGAGGGTTGCTGTGAGTTCGAGGCCAGCCTGAATTAGTGAGACCTGTCTCAAAAGTCTAAAAATACAATAAAAAGCAGATCTTGGTGCTGTGCCCTAAACATTGTGAAACTAACTCTCCCCATAGGGGAAGTAGGAAATCCCAGGGTACAGAAGCCACAGGAGGCTCCCTGATTGCCAGGCCCAGGCAGAGGCACCAGCTGGACCAGAAGTTGCCCTAGAAACACAGCAGTTGGGGGTGGCATGGGTCTGACACCCTGGAAGCAGAGCCTGGGGTGGGGGCAGGGCTCGGGTCACTTGGGGCGGAGACTGCAGTGAGAGGACCGCATGGCCTCGTAGGCTCCTGACCCCCAGAGGGGACCCGACAGCCATGGCCGCCCAGCTCAGGCAGCTGGGGACAGACAGGGACACCTGGCTTCTTGCAGACTGCACGGCCAGCCCATGTCCGCTGGGTGAGGTCCCGCTGCAGCCGCCCGCCGCCGCGCTGCCCGCCCTCAACAGGACCTTCGTGTGGGACGTGCGCACCCGCAAGAGCACCGGCCTGGAGCTGCGCTTCTCCGGGCCCCGCCTCAGGCAGGTCGGCCCGGGGGACAGCTGTCCAGACGGCGTCACCTACACCATCAGCAGCCGCGTGGATGCCGCCGTGGTCAAGATTGGCACCTTCTGTGGCAAGGGCACGGTGTCGCGCATCAAGCTGCAGGAGGGGCTGAAGGTGGCCCTGCACCTCCCCTGGTTCCAGGCCAGAAACGAGTCCGGCTTCAGCATCACCAACCACACGGCCATAAAACGTGAGCGCCCCTCCCTGCAAGGGCAGCGCCCCTGGGCTCAGGCCCACTGGCTCAGGGCCTCGGTTGTTTTGTTTTGGTTTTGTTTGTTGAGACGGGGTCTTGATACGCAGCCCAGGATGGCCTGGAACTCCTGGTGACCCTCCTGCCTCAGCCTCCGGAGTGCTGGACGACAAGCATGCCCCACCAGATCTGGGGAGTTGGTAGTTAAGTGTTCTGGGACTTTGTAAGCTGATGATAAAACAGAGCCATTATAAAGAATAAAATTATATAAACCACAATGAAGCAAATCATTTTAGAAACAGAATTAACAGTGCTGGGTGTGGTGCTGCTTATCTGTAATCCTAGCACTCAGAGGCTGAGGCAGGAGGATTGCCACAAGGTGAAGGCCAGCCTGGGCTACATGAGAGACCCTGTCTCAAAAAATACACATAGCTTTTGTCCCTGTGGGCCAAAGCGTTTACTCACTCGCCCTGGAGGTCCCCTCACCCCAGTCTCTCTGAGTGCGAGTGGCCTGACCCCAGCACGTGGTCTGACAGCCCCTTCCCTCCCTGCTCTGTCCACAGGCCTGTGCATCGTGGAGTCTGTGTTTGAGGATGAGGGCTCGGCGACCCTGCTGTCGGCCAACTACCCGGCTGGCTTCCCCGAGGATGAGCTCATGACGTGGCAGTTCATGGTGCCCGCACACCTGCGGGCCAGCGTGTCCTTCCTGGACTTCAGCACGTCCAACTGTGAGCGCAAGGAGGAGCGTGTGGAGTACCACATCCCCGGCTCGGCCACCAACCCCGAGGTGTTCCGGCTGGACGACCCGCAGCCGGGCAACATGGCCGGGAACTTCAACCTGTCCCTGCAGGGCTGCGACCAGGATCCCCAGAGCCCAGGCGCCCTGCGGCTGCGCTTCCAGGTGCTGGTGCAGCACCCCCAGACCGAGAGCAGTGAGTGAGGTGCCGCGTGGCCCTGGGGGCTGGCCGAGGGCCCTCGAGTCTCCGGAAGTGGTTGTGGGGCGGTGTGAGTGGTCTGTGGGTGCCGACCTGCAGCTTCCTCTCCATGCAGAGAGAAGCAGACGTGATCTTGCATTTGGATGCCACTTTGGCTTTTTGGGGTTTTTTTTTTCTTTCTTGTTTTGGTTTTTACTTTGTTGTTTTTTGAGACAGGATCTCACTAGTTCAGGCTGGGCTCGAACTCACAGTGATCTTTCTACCTCAGCCTCTTGAGTACTGGGACTAAAGGCATGCGCTACCACGCCCAGCTTCCCTTTGTATAATTTCTAAAAGGTATGGTGGCCCTGCTGACCATGATTCTGTCAGTTTCTGGTGTTCCTCTTATCTGTGTTATCCCTTCAGGGAGCCTCCTATGTGTGCATCCTCCTCTAGCTTCTAGAAAATATCCCAGGCACGGCGACGCATGCCTATAATCCCAGCACTCAAGAGGCTGAGGCAGGAGGGCCAGCCTGGGCTACATACTGAGACCCTGTCTCAAAACAATAAGAAAAGGAAGAGAAATTCACTTTCTCCGACAACACCAGGCACAGCAGTTCTGTCTCCCAAACCGGGGTTCTCTCTGGGTGATGGGAGTCACTCGGGTGGGTAGGCATCTGTTTGCAGCGTATTACATGGCGGTGCCCTTCTCTGCTCCGAGAGACACTGGCCGGTCATGCTTCTTTGTCCGCTTTTATAGCCTTGCAGAGCCCTTAGCCAATCACTGCTTGTGGTTTTGGTTCTCAGTTGCTGTTGCCGTGTGGCCCTGTGCTGTGAGTCTAGGGTTTGGCCTGCCAGAGCTTCTCTGTACTGTGGCCTCGACTTCTCCCCTGGGCCCTGTTTTCATTTTAAAGGAAAAAAATGTCCCCCTTTAAGTGCCACAAAAATGATTAGGGGCCAGACATGGTGCACAGCTACTTAGAAGGCTGAGGCAGGAGGGTCACAAGTTCACGGCAGCCCTGGCAATTTAGTGAGACCGTCTCAAAACAAAAAATAACCAGGCATGGGAGTGCACACCTGTGATCCCAGCACCCAGGAGGCTGAAGCAGGAGGATCACCAAGAGTTCCAGGCCAGCCTGGACTACATAGTGAGACCCTGTCTCAAAAAGACAGGCAGGCAGGCAGGCTGGGGGTACAGCTGCATGTGAAGGCCCTGTATCAGATACGTGTCACTACCCAGTAACCCTGCCAAAAAAAAGGAAAAGAAAACCAGGAAGAAAGAAGAGAAAACAGGAAATTATTAAAATGGCAATGATGACCTTTGGGAACAGGAAGGCCCTTGCAGTAAGGAAAGTAGCTGCAGTCTGCACACCGCCTGACTGAATGAACGGTGTTCAGTTGTGGCTGTGCACACACAGCATGGGGACTTTGCTAAACTGTGGCATAACTGTTGGGAAGGTGGAGACTGAGAAGTGGAAGTGTGCATACCTCTCTGGACTCTTGCCATTTGCTCGGTGATATATGCAGGAGGTTTCAGATCAGTGCATTTAGAACTCCTTCGTTCTTTTTATCTGCTGCATGATATTCCATTCACCAGTGCCCTGTGGTTTATTGAATGATCCCAGTATTGAGTGGTCTCTAGTTCACATCACACTGCCAGGTTTCCCGGGTGCAGGGGTCTCAGAGGGCTGTAACAGGCTGTCCCCATTGCCCCTGGCTGTGTGAGAGGGCACTGCTGGCCACTCCAAAGTCTCACGTTCCCCCCTCTGACAGGGCAGACAGAACACTTGGTTTTAATTTGCTTCTCTCCGATTGGAAGTGACACTAAGAACTCTCTGTATTGTGGGTATTTTCAGGCTTCTGTCTTCTTTTCCGAGAACGGCCCGACCATCACCATAAAGGTGTCCCCCGCCTGTCCCTTGTCCCCGAGTGTGCTATTTAGGGCGCTGTCAGACAGGCGTGTTAAGGGGCTTTTGCTTTTCTCCTCTTGTCTCCTCCACGCTGACAGCGGCGTCCTCTTCCTTCACAGGGTGGAGCCCTCCGCCGACCCTCGTTCCCAGAACCCCTGTGTGGGTCCCTGCTGGGACAGCTCTCCTCAGACTTTGAGTCACACCACCTCTCTGGTTTCAGATAAAACCTACGTGGTCGACTTGAGCCAGGAGCGAACCCTGTCGCTGAGCATCGAGCCGCGGCCCAAGCCGAGCCCCAGGTTCAAGGCCGGCTGCTTCGTGTGTCTGGAGTCCCGGACCTGCAGCCCCAAGGTCACACTGGCGCCTGGCTCCAAATACAAGGTCTCCTTCCTCTGCGACGACCTCACGCGCCTGTGGGCCATTGCTGAGAAGACCCTAAGTACGCGCCCAGCCCGGCGTCCCTCCTACCCTCCATCCCCATGTGGCAGTGCACACCCTCATCCCAGCGCTCTGGGAGGCTGAGGCTGGAGGATCGAAGGTTGGAGCCCAGCCTGGGTGACGCCGTAACTTAGTGAGAGCCTGTCTCAAAATAAAATATAAAGAGGGCTGGGGATGTCGCTCCATGCAAAGCCCTGGGTTCGATCCCCAGTGCTGCAAAAAAACTCATAAAGTGCTCACCGGAGTGCTGGGAGCGAGGGTGACGGAGCCCTGGGGGTGCCACCCCAGAGGACAGAGCGCCCCCAGCCCACATCCGGGTCTGCTGGCCTGCAGGGATCCTGGGCCTCCGCAGTGCAGCATGAACCCCCCTGCGGCACACGGGGCGGGGGCCCAGCGCCCTTTGGGTGCCTGCGTGCGGGAGCCAGGCGGGGCTCCTACGCAGCTGCCACGATCCTGTCTTGCAGGCTGCAGCGACCACCGCTACTGCCAAAGGAAGGCCTTCCCGCTGCAGGTGCCCGACGACGTGCTGCAGCTGCCCGTGCAGCTGCGCGACTTCTCCTGGAAGCTGCTGGTGCCCAGGGACAGGCTCAGCCTGGTGCTGACGCCGGCGCGGAAGCTGCAGCAGCACACGCACGAGCGGCCCTGCAACGCCAGCTTCAGCTACGTGGTGGCCAGCGCTGCCCCAGACCTGTACTTCGGCTCCTTCTGCACCGGCGGCTCCATCAAGCAGGTGCTGTTGCGGCAGAACAGTTCTGTGACACTCCGCACCTACGCGCCCGGCTTCCACAGCGAGGTCCCGGGCCAGGGCCTCACCGTGTCCTTCGTGCCCTACTTCAAAGGTAGGAGCCGGTGCTCTGCCCTTCTCCACCTCCATTTCCTGTTTGGGCTTTCATGTTCCCATTTCCTCGACTTTGCAAGGCTCATCCTGATGCTGACTTCCCATCCCGGAGGTTAGGAATATGTAGCCGAGTGTGGCGGCTCACGTCTATAATCCCTGCACTCAAGAGGCTGAGGCAGGAAGATCTCTGGGGGTTCAAGGCCAGCCTGGACTACATAGCAAGATCCTATCTCAAAAAAAGGAAAAAGAAATACAGAAAGGGTTTCTGACTGGGGGGTGTGGGGTTTGGTGGACAGCAGAACCAATCATCAGATTCTAGTCTTTTATGGAAGCAGGGGGCCGTAAATGAGAAGTAACTAAATATCCCTAGTCCTGGATTGTAGAAGTGACAAAAGCCCTCACGCGGACAGTTTTATGGCTCTGCCTTTACACTCAGAACCCAGCAAGCACAGAGCAGGAATGGCGGGAGGGGACGCTCACTGTGAGGCGGCCACAGGGTCCAAGCGGCTCCCCGTGGCCCCTGCCGTGTGGCTGCCTGAGTCCCGCTCACTGTGACAAGCTGCGCAGAGAACACTCGTTACCTCAAGGCAGTGTGGAAATGGACCGGGCCGGCCTGAGTGGCCAGAGGCCACTTTTTGTCCCCAGATGAGGTCAGTCCAGGCTGCCCGGGATCGGGGTTGCTGAGGATCAGACACAGTGTCCCCAGCATGGGGCCCGGGTCATCTCTCTCCCACAGGTGGGAGTGGGTCATGGGCACGTCAGAAACTTTCCGCTTCGCAGTTCCTCAGTTCTTCCCTGAGTTCTGTGGTTCTGTGAAACGGAAGTCGGGGTCCAGCAGTCCCACACGGGACAGGTACAGCGCTGTGTAGACATTTCCGAAAGGGGCTGAGGCAACACTCACGTGGAAAATGGGCCTGCTTCTCATTTCTTTTTTTTATTTTTTTATTTTTTTGGTACCAGGGATCGAACTCAGGTCCTTGTGCTTGCACAGCAGGCGGCGAAACCACTGAGCTAAATCCCTGGCCCTCATTTATTTTGTTTTTATCAAAAGACCAGAGTCCCTGTCTGACTGAGGCCCATCCTATACCCACCAGGACATAACAGCCCCACGTGACCAATTATGTAATTAAACACAAAAAATGCCGTCCTCGGGGTGTTGGTCAGCTTCCCGTCGCTGTGACAAAACACCTGGGGGAAGGAACTCACGAGAAGGAAAGGTTTCTTTGACTCAGTTTCAAAGGTTCCAGCCCACAGTAGGTTCACCCTGCTGTGTTGCGGCCTGAAGTGGCCAGAGCCATGCCAGTGGCCATGACTGAAGAAGCTGCTACCTCCTGGCTTTCAGGAAGCAGAGACAGGAAGAGGCAGATGCCCCACATCTCCCGAGGCCACGGCCCCAGTGACCTCACGTCCTCCTACTGGGCCCATCTGTTAAGGCTTTACTGCTGCCCAGGCTGGGGGCCGTGTCTTTACTGTGGCCTCTGGGGGACCCTTCAGGCCCTGACTCCATCACACGGGGCACATTCCCCGTGGCTGGCATCCGCTCCGGGGCAGTGCAGATCTAGAGCATTCCTGTCACTGAAGTGGGTTCTGGTGGACACGCTGTTCTAGAAGGTTCCAGTGGACACACACACTGTTCTAGAAGGTTCTGCAGCACCTTCTCTGCTTCTCCCTTTTCTCTGCCTCTTTTTTGTTTTTTGGTTTTTGTTTTTTCTCTCTGCCTTGTGATGAGTGAAACAGTACCTGTCTGGATCCCCTTCCCTTTCCCGCAGAGGAAGCCATCTTCACGGTGACCCCAGACACGAAGAGCAAGCTCTACCTGAGGACCCCGAACTGGGACCGCGGCCTGCCGGCCCTCTCCTCCGTGTCCTGGAACATCACCGTGCCCAGCGGCCAGGAGGCCTGCTTGACCTTCTCCAAGGAGCGCACTGGAGTGGTCTGCCAGTCCGGGCGCGCGTTCATGATCATCCAGGAGCAGCGCACACAGATGGAGGAGATCTTCAGCCTGGAGGACGACACGCTCCCCAAGCCCAGCTTCCACCGCCACAGCTTCTGGGTCAACATCTCCAACTGCAGCCCCACCAGTGGCAAGCAGCTGGACCTGCTCTTCTGGGTGACTCTGACCCCAAGGACCTTGGGTAAGGCCTTTGGGGTCTTTCAGAGGTTGTGGTAGACAGAAAATTGGCACTGAGGGGCAAGGAAGAAGACTGGAGTCACGTCCGAAGACAGATTGGGTCCTGGCTCTCCATGTATCAGTCAGCTATTACCTGAGTAATGCCATGTAACAAAGCACCCTAGGAGTTAATGGGTTAAAACAGCCACTTACTCTGCACACACATTGGCCAGGCAGTTCTGGTCTAAGTGGAGTCTGTGAGTCCCTCCACAGTGCCGCTGCAGGTTGTCTGGAGGACTTTGCTGATCTGCTAGGGGCTCTCACACACAGGCCCTGGCTAGTTCATCTGAGACAGCTGGGGTTGCTCAGCTCCCCTCCTCCTGTCCTCTCCCTAGGCCCGTTCTCCTGACAGAGGAGCAGAGATCTGTGAGATGAGCAGATGTGCAAGGTGCTGGATGTGGGTTTCGGAATGTGCACGCCTTTCTTTCTGCCACTCTCTCGGCGCACCTAGACTTTTTCAGTCGGTCTCCCGCCATTCCTTACTGTCAGTCTCTCTCAGACGCAGACAAATCTCGGTTCCCGTAGAGGAGATGGTGATAACCATGTCCCAGAAGCACCCTGGGATTCTATAGCGGTGATTAAGGCTGGGAGACTGGAGAGTGTGGCAGGGAAACGGGGCGTTGGTATCTTTGTTGGGTCCCGGGGAAGCCGTGGAACCCACGAATGTGCTCAGTGGCAGCCTCAGGCCAGGAAGGGGAGGAGTTTGCTTTCAACCCACTGAGTTGGAACAGGACCCAGTGAAAGGCAGGGAAACCTGCAGCCGGGTCTTGCGTGGGGACCGTGTCTGCCCCACAGACTGTCACGTGGGGTAGGCGGGACCGGGAGCCGCGTCTCTGCCCCTGCCTGTGTGGAGGTCACCGTGGCCGAGCGCTGGCCTGGACACAGGCTGTGAGCACAGGTGCCTGGCAGGAACCGGGCCGAGCACGGCTCCCATGCCCTCCCTCCGGCCGCCTGGCTTTTCCTCCTCCCTGTCCCCTGTGCCTGCTCCTGTCGTCTCTGACGCCCGCCTCTCGTCTTCTCCAGGAACAGGAAGAACTCCCGGTCCCTGTGGTGCAGGGCCCCTCCAGATCTGTTTTCTTTTCCTTCCTGCAGCTACAGGGGAAGGACCTCAGTGACTCAGCCCCTCCCTCTGTGTCTGGCTCCTGCTCTGTCCTCTGCTTCTGCTCCCCCTCCCCGCCTCGTGCAGGTGACGGGCATGGTGTAGGCTGAGAGTAGCGGAGCCGGTAGGTCTCCCAGTCTGCTCCTCCGTCAGCGCCACATCCAGATGACAGTTTGGCCAGGGAGGGCGTGGCGGGTTAGTCCTCTGTGCTCAGGGACCTGGGGCCTGGCCCCCCGATGCCTTGAAGGTTGTAGGATGGCTGGGATGGTTCAGCTGGAGCCACACGGTCTGAGACACAGAGAAGGATGCCGCTGCACACCTGTAATCCCAGTGCTCGGGAGGCTGAGGCAGGAGGATTGCCTTGAGTTTGAGGCAAGCATGAACTACATATTGAGACCCTGTCTCCAAAGACTTAACCAGGCCATGGTGCTCTCCCTTGCACGGTGCCCGCCCTCATGCTGTAGGCTGCACTTCTTTTCCTATCTTTAATAAAACTCTGCTACCATTAAAACAAAACAAAACAAATAAGATATAGTGACCATCTAAAGACACATTGCTATGAATTCTCCTCAAAATCCTCCTCCTTGCTTCCAACACATTCATCACATCTCCCTCACCACTTTCTGCAGCAGCTCTGGAGTCCTCTTTCCTGAGAGTCTTTAGCTGCGCTGTCCTGGCTGCTCAATGTCCTGAGTGTATTCAAAATGTTGACTGTTCGAGGTCATTTTGACTTTGAGGAAGAGCCAGGAGTTGCACAGTGCCAGATACGGTAAATAAGGTGGACGAGGGCACAGCCTTGTGTTTTTACAAGCTGCCTTTCTGTTGGACGGCGCCCGCCAGCAGTCAGCGTATTTTCAATCACACCTGGTACAGACACTCAGGAAAGAGGACTCCAGAGCCACTGCAAAAAGTGTCGAGGATGATGGGATGAGTGTTTGACATGAGGAAGAGTCCTGGGAGGGAAGATTCGCGCCAATGTGTTTTTCACTGTAATAATTTCCTTTTTCTTGACAGCCACTGTATTTGGGTGGCACCCTTGCCTGGCACCTTGCTCCTCAACTCTGGGCCAGGCTGGTTTCCCCCAGTGTCTCCACAGACTGCCTCGGGCTTCCTCACAGCATGGTGGCCTCAACATCAGCGTGTCACACAGCAGCCGGCTTCCTCTTGTGGAGAGAGCCAGGCTGACGGTGCTCTTAAAAATCAGGCCCAGAGCAGTCCCCACTGCCTCCTGTTGGCCCTGGCAGGCTTAGGAGAAAGGAGGCCAACTCAGGATGAGCCGCATGCGTGGAGACGACTCCAGCTGGGCCCTGTCTCCTCATCTCTCTCCTGTGTCTCTGCCCACAGATGTGACCGTCATCACTGCTGTGGTGGGAGGCGGAGTCTCACTGCTCTTCGCCCTCGGCCTCATCATTTGCTGTGTGAAGAAGTAGGTGGAAGCGCTCCGGCCAATATGGCACCGCCTGGGCTCGCGTAGCCCGGCTGTTTTGTTCATTATTGACTTTACGTCTTCGTTCCGTGTCCCCCTAAAGATGTTGAATAACATCGCCAGATGTGAACTAAAGGCTTGGGGGGGGTCCCAGGCTCAGAGAGGGAGCCAAGGCGAGGCTGGAGGATACCTGACACCCTCCAGGTACCAGAGGGCATCGCCACCAGCCCTGAGTGGTACCGCCGCCAGAATTTGGTCGCTGCTGTAGCTCTGTGCTCTGTGGCGGTGGCTGCCTTGGAGCCTGCATCCCTCAGCTGGAACAGGCTACGCTGTCCCAGTGCGAGCAAGTCGGCCACACCCTTCCCTCCCCAGCCTCCCGTGCCATGGCATCCACCAGGTGGTCAGAGCTCTGACCCATGGGGGGTGGGGGCAGTAGCCAAAGGACAGAAAGGACAGCACTGAGAGCTGTGTGCTGGGATGCCACCACTCCTAGTAAGAAAGAGGGGAAGGGATCGCTCATCGGGGGTCCCACCATCAGATGCTGTGTGATCTATCAAAGATGATTTGAAGGTCCGGGGATTTAGCTCAGTGGTTCCGCCACCTGCCTCACAAGCGCAAGGACCCGAGTTCGATTCCCAGTACCAAAAAAAAAAAAATGATTTGAGGAGCCAGGTATAATGGCGCACACCTGCCTTCCCAGCACTCGGGAGGCTAAGTGGGAAAATCGCCTTGAGTTCGAGGCCAGCCTGGGGTACACCGTGAGTTCAAGGCCAGCCTGAATTACGAGTGAGACCTTGTCTCAAAAAAAAAAAAGAAAGAAAGAAAGATAATTTGAGGGATTGGGGCATAGCTGCATGTAGAGCGTGTGCTTAGCATGCACAAGGCCCTGGGTTCACTCCCCAGCCCAAAAAATAAAGGACAACTGGGGCACGGATGGCGTTCAAAGTCTACACCTCTCTTTACACCTGCCCCTCACTTCCCATCTTGAAAACTGGTGATGAAAGCTGGTCACCCCCAATGTTCCCTGGGGACAGTTCCAGTTCTCTTGCAACTCCAGGGACTTGGGGGGAGGTCGGCACCCACAGAGCCCGCGTCCAGGATGGCGCTGTCTCTGACCCGGCTCTCGCTCCCTTTCCATGGCAGGAAGAAGAAGGTGAACAAGGGCCCCGCCGTGGGCATCTACAATGGCAATATCAACACCCAGATGCCACTGCAGCCCAAGAAGTTCCAGAAAGGACGAAAGGACAACGACTCCCACGTGTATGCGGTCATCGAAGACACCATGGTGTACGGGCACCTGCTGCAGGGCTCCGGTGGGTCCTTCCTGCAGCCGGAGGTGGATGCCTACCGGCCCTTCCAGGGTGCCATGGGCGACCGCCCGCCCAGCCCACCGCCCACCTGCTCCAGGGTGCCCACTGCCAAGCTGGCCGAGGAGAAGCCGCCCCCTTGCACCTCGCTGGAGCCTGAGACCGAGCCCTACACCTTCTCCCACCCCAGCCAGGCGGCTGGGAGCAACCGGGCCACACACGTGCCCCTGCTGGACCCACAGGAGCCGGGGCTGCCGGCAGAGTAGCAGGACCCCTGCCAAGAGGCTTTGTGCACTCGGCAAGAGGCACCCTGGGGCTCCCTCCCAGGGTCCTCCAGAAGAGGGAACAGGGGACAGTGGGCTCCTGGACTCCACCCCGGAGCCTACCCCTCACAAGTTGATTCTGACCCGATCCAGGTCACCATCTCCATGACAGGAGAGGGACGAGGGGTGCAGCACCGGGATCCCTGGCTTTGGAGAGACACACAGACCCACTTCTGGAGACACTGGCGGTCCAGGAGCCCCAGTGAGGTCCTCGCTCCCATCGGGACGGCAATGACAGTGTGCCTGTTTATTATTATTTATTGGGTGGTCCTGCATCCTGAAGAGGTGGACTGCCCAACTACGAAGCTCTTCGACCCAACGGAGCAGCCACTCACTCATGGCTCAGATGGCTGGGCTTTGACTTCCACTGGTCACAGGCCCCTGTGAGGTGGGCCTAATTCACCACCTGTCCAGCTGGAGGAGCATGTACACGTGCGGGGCCCCACCACAGATTTTATCCTGGTCCCCTGCCCTTTGCTCCCAGAAATGAGAGACATTTCCGGAATTGCCATGCAGGCTTCCCCAGCTGAGCTAAACTTGGACCCTGCATGGAAACTCAGAGGACACCTGCGTCCTCTGGAAATGTTCCAGCGTAGGCTGGGCTCGCCCCGGGGCTGGCTGCTACTACACGCTGTTCGGTGGCTTGAAATCAACAGGGATTACTTTCTCACCGTTCTGGGGATCAGTCTGCTGCTCCCTTGGCTTCTCCCCAGCTTGGCGCCAGCCCTGGCCCAGGGGCTACTGAGTCTCTCCCTGGGGTGGCTGTCACTCTGTCACTGACACCTCCTCCCTCCTCCCCTCCAGTCCTGTCTCCCATCTTGGCGCTGAACTCCAGCACACCGGGAAAGCCCCTTCCTCCATGCAGGGCCCCGCACCCCAGGACGGGACATGGCGCAGTCATCCTTGGGGCGCCCTCTGCCTACCCCCTCTTTCCGCCACAGACACCCTCAGAGCCACTGAGAACCGTCCAGCCTGTGGGGTGTCTGGTTACCCTGGAATCTTTTTTTTTTAAGTTACCACCATTCAGAATCCACAAAATAATATAGAAAAATCCCAGTGAGAATTGCTGGCCAGGCTGGGCTCACGCACCCTCCAGGGCAACCAGCCAGGGCAGATCACCCAGTCCTGCTGCTGCCGTCGCCGCCCGCCATGAGGCCGCATGTCAGTGCTTTGGATCAGTGTCCTGCCAACTGCTTTTCCTGGGAAGATAAGGAAAGACGGGCTCTTCCTGAGATGGATGTATGTGTGCCCTGCAGACGGTTCTCTTCCAGCCCAGCTTGCACTGGTGTGGCTGCTGTCTGGAGGAGGGAGGGCCACATGCAGCTCAGCAGCACTGCAGTGGAGACGCCCTCCCCTCCTCCTCCTCCTGCCCCCCCCCCCCCCCCGCATGTTCAGGGTCCACCTGGAAAAGCACCGCCTCGCGTGTCCCTGTGGGGGGAAAGGGAGGAGTGTGACAGCCCAGCCGCGTATCCTCCAAGGCCTCCAGAGGGAGAGGATCTGTTTGTGATGACCCCCGACGTGGGTCCTGGCCCCTGCCCTGCTGAAGGGCGGCTCCTGTCCAGGTACCGAGGCCCCGTGACCCGCGGTGGCACCCTGGGCGGAGGAGCCCAGTGGCGGTTGCCATGTGGCTTCCTGCTGTCTCCCTGGCTGAGACACATCGCCAGCTCTTGCAGGGACCTGGTGGCTCTTCTAACTGGTGACTCTGCACTCTGGGCCAAGCACTGGCACCCTGAGCACCAGAGCAGTCCCAGCTCCTCTCTGTGGGTAACTCGGGTCCTCAGGGGCCATGCGTGGATCCTGTCCACCTCCCCTGGTCCGGAGGGGAAGCTGCCCAGGAAGGGCCTCGGACACAGGCAGGGCCATGCTGCAATGCCACTGGAAATTATTTATTTATGTAGAGACTTAAGTAGCATTTTATTTGTTTCCTATGCTTTTTTAAAATAAATACACAACAGAGCTGCGTGTGTGGTGGTGGGAGGGAGCAGGCCTTTGTCCCCAGCGTCCTGGGCCGCTCCTGAGGCTGTGACCCTGCCATGCTCTGGCCAACCACATGGCCTGGGCAGCAGCGGTTCTGTGCCAGGTGAAAGTGCCCGTGCCCGAATCACGTGAGAAACTCGCCAGCGGTGGCTCAGTGGCCGCAGCCTGTTCTGTTGGCTTCCTGTCGAGGCCTCGTGGCCCCAGTGTGACCTCACCTGGTAGAAGGCCCCACGCGCGTCACTCCCAGCCACCAGGATGGAGGTGAAGGGCGGGACCCGGAGCGCAGATGCACCCACTGGGCACTGGGCACGCGGACAGGGGCCCAGGAACGTGGTGTCGGATGCAAGGAGGACTGCACAGGTGGCCACCTAGCCAGCCACCCCAAACTCTGTCATAACCCAGCGTGATGCCCACGCCCTCAATCCCAGCACTTGGGAGGCTGAGGAAGGAGGATCTCAAGTTCACACCCAGGCTGAACAATTTAACAAGCAATTTAAGACCCTGTCTAAAAAAGAATTCAAGTGCTAGGTAGTGTAGCTCAGGGTCCAGGCGGGCCCTTCGGTCCTCCAGACCTTCAAAAACAACAAACACCAAAACACTTTCTTGGGGGTTCCACTTGAGCGTCTGTGGTCCCCACTCCTGCTAGTTCTGACTGGCAGCGTGGCCCGTTCGTTCTGGGTAGGCTGATCCCGCGTCAGTCCTCCACACCTCAGCCTCTGTCCAGCATCCCGCAGCCGCTGCCGTGATCAGATGGGGCAGAGCTCTTTGGTCCAACATGCCACCACCTGACTCCTCGCCGGCCCCGGCAGCTTCCGTGTGTGGACGCTGTCCTGTCCCACCACTCCGCTGAGCCGAGGAGAGAGCGCTCCAGCCGTCACTGCGTGTAGAGTTTGGCCCCGACTGCATCGTGGTGAAATGTCTCCGTTTAAAAATACTAAGCGAGCTGGACATGCAAGCACATGCTTGCCATGCGAACTACCTCAGAGGCTGAGGCAGAAGAGTTCAACCCCAGCGGCGTGACTGAGTGAGACACTGTCTCAAAAACAGTTTTTTAAAGGGCCGGGGATGTACGTCAGTGGTGAGCATGGGGATCTGGACGGGACGCTCTGGTACTGGAAAAGGTAAATATACATAGTGTTGTTTGGTATTTAAATTTTTTCAGACTTGAATCTGCTTCTGGCAGGCTTCAGATGAGGGCCACCGTGTTGTATAAACAGGGTGCTTTACCCGCCATAAAAAGACCCCGTGTCCAGGGTGATGCTGACGTTTGGGTCTTTTGTCACATTGTGAGGGTTAACCCCAAGGTACAACGTGTCCACAAGAGTCTGTGGGTCACAAAGGCTGTGGTCACCAGAGGCCCAGGTGGGCCCACCAGAGCCGCCCACCCGTCTGGCTGAGTTTTCCCTTTTTCCCCACCCGCTGAGCAGGGCTTGGGGTTCTGGGTCTCTTCAAGCTCTCCTGAGACAATGCTTGTCCTTCAGGCCTCGACAGCTAAGAACAAAGCCCGGTGTGGTGCCGCACACCTGTAATCCCAGCACTGGGCAGGCTGAGGCAGGAGGATCACCTCACGTTCACGGTCAGCCCGGACTTCATGAGGAGACCCTGTCTTGAAAGCCCCCTTTTTCTGTGACAGAAGTCTGTGAACCTACAGCCTGCCCTGAGGGTGGGGTGAGCTGAGGTCCCCGTCTCCTCTCAGGGATCCCCCACCCCCACCAGGGCCACCCACAGAGGAAACAGCCTGTCTCGGGCACCCAGTGGTCGTTGGCTGTCATCGGAGCTCATTTTAGTAGAAATGGAAATTATAACCAAAGCAGCTCTTCCAAGAGAAAAGCTTTCACTGGAAGGTGGAAAGAGGACAGGGAGGGACCCAGCTTAGCGGGCCGGCGGGGCACACTCTGAGCCCACTCCAGCCTGGCCACCCGCCAAGGCCAAAGCCAGCTTCGAGGACTGGCTGGTGGCTGGGATGGCGCGGTCGTCCTCAGAGGCCTGGGGTCCCATCTCGGAACCCCATGGCCCAGGGAGGGTCCGATCCCAGGACAGGGCTCTCTGTCTCAGGGAGAGAACGCAGCCAGCAGGGCCCCGACGTCCTGGAATCCGGGGCTCGTGGCCAGGTGTGTCAGGGGCTCTGAGCATGGCTGATGCCCCCAGAGGGAGTGGGAGAAAACCCTGTACACAGGGACAGGCTGCCTGGCTGACCCCACGGAGCGGAGCCGGGATTCGACTCAGGGTCTCCGGCAGCAAAGGTACAAACCGAGGGTCCAGCTGGGTTCTGCTTTCAGTTACCCCCCCGGGCCCAAGGCGAGATCGCGGCTCACATGGAGCCGGCTCTTAAGTCCCTGGCTGCCCCGGAAGAGCATGCTGACCTGCTTCACAGGCAGCAGGTCAGCCCAGGAGTCTCCCTGCTCCCCGGCCCCGTGATGTCCCCGACTGTCAGGACCGCAGCCCATCATAGAGGAATGGGAAAGCCCTGGCCAACGTTGCCAAGTTCCAACCCTGAGGCCTTGGGTCCCCGGGGGTCCAGTGTGGTAATCTCACCTTCCTTGTGGAGGTCCTTAATACTGTGACATTGAGCGGGCATGGTGGCGCACACCTGTCATCCCAGCACTTGAGAGGCTGAGGCAGGAGGATTGTGGTGGGTTCAAGGCCAGTCTGGGCCACATAGTGAGGCCCTGTCTCAAAAAATCCAGACCAAACACCAATTCAGACCTGGCATAATCTATGGTTTCATTGTGCTAAAGGCAAAACACATCTGTGTTCAACCTGAAAAGGAGACTTTCAGGTCCCTCTCATCATGGAGGACCCTGCCTCAATCCCCGGCTGCAGACCCCAGGCCCCGAGAGGCTCATGGTGGCTGAGTCCCACTCACAGGACGCGGGTGGAGGCCAGGGACCCAGCTCCATTGGCAGCCCCGGTGGGGCAGGGGCCGGGTAACCGTCCCCACGGAAACTGGAGTGGGTGGGGCAGGGGTATCACCGTGGGGGACCAATAGCCTCCCCATCACTGAGGAGCACAGGAGAGCGGGGGCACCAGGTGGACTCGAGGGGCCAGGGTGAGGGTCGTGGCCTCTCCTCCAGGAGCATTCCAGGAGGGATGCAGGAAGTGCAGTGGTGACCTCACCCTCACGGTGTCCAGGACACTGAGGGCAGAGAGATTGTGCACATGGTGTGAATATGGCTGGGTCCCCTCTGGGATACATGTCGAGTGTGTATGTGTGAGTGTGTGTACGCGTGTGGGTGGGTGTGTTGCTGGGGATGGCGTTCTGGGGCTAAGCTACATCCCTGGCCCTTTTTATTTCTCATTTAGAGACAAGCCCTCATTAAGTGCTGGGCTCAGGAGCCACTGCCAGATAATCTGCACTGAGGAAACGGCTCTCCTGTGAGCTGAATTTGTGCCTGCGAGGCACATGCTCTACCCATGAGCCCCATTTATTTACTTAGTTTATTTATAGACAGGATCTCACTAAGTTGACCAGGTTGGCCCGGAACATGGGATCCTCCTGCCTCAGCCTCCCCAGTAGCTGGGTATGACTAGTTTTTAAATAAAACGAAAGTTAAAACTTCTTTTTAAAAGCTCACTAGAAGGTACTGTGGCTACTAAATGTCCCTAAAAATAAGTGCCTCCAGCTTGCTGGCCTCTAATAATCCGTTGTCCCCAAGCTGCCCCTCCTGGAGAGTGAGACCTGCTGGGCCAGATTTTTCTTCCCTCTGGCTGAGCCGAGAGGCCAACTGCTGGACAGACTGGAAGGTGCGGCCCAGAAATCGGCTCCAACCTGCTGAGGCCGCTTCCACACTCCCGCAGGTGATCCTGCGGTACTGGGGCACCTGAGAGATGACCGCAGGCCTCTCGGGCTTCCTGCGCTGCCCAGGTGGGGATGGAAGCCCGGCCTGGGAGAGCTGCTGCTTGGAAGACCCCCTTGGGCTTGCTGTGTCATCTGCGGGGAAAATGTTTCAGCCAAGCCCCAGCCTGCAGCTCAGAGACTGGATTCAGCCCACACTAGCCCTGGGCTGCCGAGGGGGTCCCGGGGCTGCCAACTTCCTGCCTCCTGTGTGCCCCAAGCCAGCTTGCAGGGTGGGACAGCAGGACCACCTGACGCCCCCATCCCCCGTCCAGGCTGCACCTCACCCCTCCCTGAGACCCGGAGCCCACCCCGCGGGCTGCCCCAGGGTCCCCTCTCCCTGAGAGGCTCAAAGGAGGCTGACACCCACAGTGGATTCACAGAGGGATTTCCAAACATTCTTGATTCTAGGAACACAGGTTGGTGCCTAGGGCGACACAGCAGGAAAGTGGCTGCTGCTGCCCCCTGTGGGTGGGGCGGGGTGAGGCCCTTCCTCTACCTGCTCCACACTCCAAAGTGGGTGCTGGGTCGTTCCAGTGGCCAGGCACGGGCGCACACCTGTAATCCCAGTTACTCAGGAGGCCGAGGCAGGAGGATCACAATTTCAAGCCCACTCAGGGCAACCTGTCAAACTCTGGCAGGGCTAGCTGGGGATGTAGCTCAGCGGTAGACCACTCGCCTAGCAAGTGCAAGGCCCCGAGTTCAATCCCCAGCACTGGGGGAAGAAAAATACTTTTTCAGTGGCTGCTGATCTCTCACCTAAGATCAAAATGTATGAAGAATATTTAAATTAAGAATCCTCAGGGATTACAGGCATGTGCCACCGCAGCTGGTTTTAAATTCTCCAATTTGAAAGGGGCCCTGTTACAATTTGCAAACAATAGATCAGTCCTGGGTAGATGGAGGGGCTGAAGAACCCAGGAGGATTGAGGGAAAAAAAAAATCCCCCCCCCATGGTTACATAATCACTTTTTCCTTCAGCACTGGGAATTAAACCCGGAGAGCACTGAGCTATGCCCCTGGCCCTTTTTATTTTTTATTTTGAGATAGGGTCTCACTCAGGTGCCCTAGCTAGCCTGGAATTTGTAATCTTCCTGCCTCAGCCTCCTGAGTAGCCGGGATGACAGGTGTGCACCCCAGGGATA